ACTAAGGTGTCGGAGGAGGTGTCTCTAGGAGAAATTAACCAGCACATAATCCATACCTGTGAAGATAAATAAGATTTAGAAGGCTTCCTAGGGTCATTTATTGTTGTCAAACTAGATAAAGTTCAGAAAAGTGTAGCATTGGAAAAATGATTGAATTCTGGCTAGAGATGAAAATACTGCAATTGAAAAATATCCAGAACAACATGTACTTGGATCCATATTAAAGAAAAATTCTTTGAGTGTTTAAGCCAAATGATCCAGCAGAGTTGATAGTGTGAGGCATATTTCACAGTTGTATAAATATTTAAAACTATTTTCCAGCCTATAAAACAAGTAAATTAGGTTATTTTTTTCAAGTACAGTGAAATTAACATGTCCATCTCAACTTGGGGAAACCTGCTCTACTCATCCCAACCTTTTGTCTTAGAAGGGAATCTCTGAGAAAGAAATGTGATGAAAGCTTCAAGTTGGAAAACAAAGCTGGTTTACATTTCAGGGAATTTTAGAAGGGATGATTAGCATCATGGTATACTGCCCCAGGTGGTCTATATCCAGAGGGCCTCTGTCTCGTTTTGCGCAGGCCTGACTTAACTTGTCACCAGGGGCCAGATCCAATGGACACAGTAGCTTTTCATATAATAAACCACTTTGAACTTGGTGGAGGCTGGGCTTGGGGCTCTGTCATATACATGAGATGCACAGACAGCAGTGCAGCAGGTTGATCTTGCTGTTCTCTATTCTGAGCTGCTGTCCTGTTAGAATGCCACCAATCCTGCCCTTCAGCCTCAGTGCTGGTTTGTAGGTGGTCCTTCTTCAGTGTTCCAAAGCTTCTTTTATCATGCTTTGTTGTTCTTGTCCTTTCCAGAGTTTAACATATTTTTTCTTTTACTTGCATTTTAGCTGTTGCTCTACCTTGCTGCTGTCTCCTTCACTTTTTGCCTCCAGTTAAATAGACTTCTGAGGCAATGGCAGTGATCTTTCTGTATTTATTAATACAGAGTTTGAAAAGAATGTCAATGACCAAAATTTATTGATATTTCATAGCTGCTACATAAGGCTGGCACCATGAAGGTAGTGGAAAGAGTGCTCAGCCAAGAGTTAGGCATCTTGAGTTTAGCCCAGGAGTACCACTAATTCACTGGGTATCTTTGAGAAATCACTTAACCTCTCTGGGCCTTTGTTCCCATGTTAATATAAGGCCATTTGAATTTACTGTTCTAGGAAAGTCTTATCTTCTTCTGTTACATGATGCTACATTGTGAATATATTCCCTTGGTTATACTTTTGATTCTTCTTCATTCTTGAGAAAAATTAATTTTCTTTTGTTTTTAGACTACAGAATGAAAAATGGATGAATGTCAAAGTGGGAGACATCATTAAATTAGAAAATAACCAATTTGTTGCTGTGAGTATTCATTATTGTTTGAAGAATTTATATTAGTTTAAAGTAGCCTATATATGAAAGTATTTACATTTGCAAATTTTGTAAATCTGTACTAACCCAGAATAATTAAAGAGGGACTATCATCAGTATGTATAAGTAAAAAGCCTCAATTATAAAATATTTTATAAGACATTGATTTATTAGTTCAGTAACATAGTAACTCACATAAGGTTGAGTGATTATCACCTTTCTCTTTCCCTAGGGATCTTTTAAATTAATAGGAACAAAAGATTTTACATTAGAAAGCCAATATTTGATATAAATAAGAGTTTTTAAAATGCTCCTGAGTACTTTAAAAGTTTGTTCTCACATATTTTGTGATTAGTACTGCTAATATCCAGATTAGTATTGTTAATTTGTAGTATATTTGAAGAAACATAAGCTAGAGAAAAAAGGTATGTTTCCTCCTTAAAAATTAGAAAATGTGTATTGATTGTGTTAAATTAATACATGTTAATGCGATTTTACTTTGTATATCAAATATACTATAATTTATTTACTCAAATGGCCTATGTTATAATTTCCTAAATAAAATTGAAGGGATCAGTCTAATCATGAAAATATATGTAAGTAACTATAGTTCAAATTAAATTTAAGGTAACAAAATCTTTTGAGATCAGATTAAAAATTCAAGTTATTGTATTATGTCAAATGTATATTAGATTAGATATAAAATTCTTTCTGTTGAGTGCTATTTTGTATATCAGGTTGAGACATTTTACCACAGGGGAAAAAAAAATATGACCCAAGAGCTGTTTACAAGAAAAACTCAGTTAAGACTCCTAAATGTTTACTTTCGGAAACATTCTTCTTTCATTAATGCACCGTTTGTGTATTCTGAATTCTCCAGAGCCACCCACATTAAGGAGACTGCTCAGTGGACAGACCAATCACCAAAAAGTTCACACTTTAGGTAGAGAAGTGCTTATCTCTCTAGTAACCTTAATGCTTTGGAAAATATCTGGGAACCAAAACTAAACAAAAAATGTTGGCAGCCAAAACAGAGGTCTCAAAGTCCACTCTGGGCTAAACTCCTTATAAGTAGAAGTTTGCCAGGTTCTCACTCACAATCTATTTACTTGTACATAAGCCAGAACTTAAATTTGCTTGTCCAACTTATTTTGCAGCTCACTAAAGAATAGGAATAATACCCTGGAAGGTGGTATCTGTTAGGACATACTCTGTACATGGAATCAAGGTAGATCCAGTGTAAAGGCACTAGATGGGGAACTGGGTGAGAGCTGAGGCTTTGCTCCATTCCTTCAGTGACAGGAAATACTATATCTTCTATGTCTTTGGTTTGTCCATGTGTCAAATCAAGGTCTAGCACTGTAGGATCTCAAAAATTCCTTCCATGCTGTGATTCTCTGTCTAAGCTGACACCAGACCATAAGAATCTTGCAGGCAAAGCACATATTAATTTGCCTGTCCTCTAACACTTGGTGCCATATTCTGCCATCAAGGGCATTCGGTAAATGTTGGCTGAATAAATAAGTGTTGATCTTTGTAAGAAAGAAGACAGGAAAAAAAAGTGGATATAAATTTACAAAAATTCAGGTGTTCTGGATCAATGGGATACCAGTAAATGGTATTTGCCCTAATTAAAGATCATATATATTCAGGGTTCTTTGTCAAGGAAGAAATGGCTCCAGGAAACTTATTCAAATTCTACTCTCAATTAAAATGATTACAATGAGTTTTGGTTCTTCTAAGTGGAAAACCTTAACTTATAAAAAACAAAAGAAAAGGACATGTAGAATTCTAAGATGTGTGCAATTCAAATTTTTTTGGTAACTACTTTAGCCAGATTGGTGTCAGATTATAGAGGAATTAGCATAAACTGATACATACCACACCCTTAACTATCATTTTATTTGGAAGTGAATATTTCAGGCGCAATGCTAGGTGTGTCTCTATTTCAGGTATTCAGTAAAAAACTGTAAGTCTGAAGAGTCCCATGAACATGCTCTAACAAGGGTGAATATCAGACTGGACTCATTTGTTTACTAATGCCAAAGTATTACAAATACTATAATAACAGTATTTATTATTTATGACCATTTTCCTTGGTTGTTTTTAATTTAGTTATATTTTCTATATTATAGTATGTATGCTTACTTTCTATTGCAAAATCTTCAGTGAAATGAGATACAGAAGGCAAGCACAAGTACAATCGAAGAGCAGAATTCTGAATTTTAATTAATTTAGATTTAAATAGCTACATGTGATTTGTGGCTACTGTATTAGACACACAGATGTGGGCCTTTTATGGTGGTTCCCATGATGGGGTGAGAATGCTTATTTTCCACTCTTCCTCCTGTTTTCATTTGGAGGTACAGCACCAAAATAACACTCTAAGTATCTTTCACCCACTTGCTCACTCCTCTCTCCTCTCTCCCAGGAGTGCCTTCTCTGATGGGTGAGTTTGGCTGCTGGGAGTGTTGCATATGACCCAGTGATGCTTCTTTACTTCTTGTTCTCTTTAAGCCACGCCTGTGTGCAGAGTCCATTCTGCTCTGCTCTTCCATGCTATAAATTTTGCAGAAGCAAATTCCTTTAGTGGGGATAGTGGGAGGGCCAGGGCAACTTAGAGCTTCCAGCATCTGTGGCTCGATGAATTTGTCTAATAGGGGTGAAGCCCATTCGGGCCACAGACCTAAAGCCTTGCCTTTATCAAAATAACAGCTTTATCAAAAAAGATGCTATTTTTATCTCCATTCTTCCCTGTTTGACTCCTACAATTATGGTTTGTTGGCCTAATCTTTGAATATCTGAGGATCAGAGTCCTCCAAATCCACCTCCCAGCACCTCTTGATTAGGTAATTTTGTTCAAAGTTTTTCCGTGTCTAGCTACTCAGCACCTACAAAACCATTTTCAAGAGCAAGAAAATATTTTTTTAGATGAACCATTGGAATCACTTAGGAATACTAATATACCCCCCTGTACTCTGGTATTAGCTGGCAGGGGCTTCAGAGAGCTTATATTCAGGGGGCAAAATTTATGGGCCCCTGAATGAGCCCCACTTAGGAGTTATACTGAGATAGATTTGGGGGAAACCGGGTCATGAAGATGATGAAAACAATTGTTAGCATTTATTGACCATGTGCCACATGCCAGACAATATTAATAAGTACTTTATGTGATTAACTAATTTAATCCTTGTATTAGCCAGTAAAGGCAGGACATGAAGTATTCTTATTGCTCTCACTTTACAGATGAGAAAACAGAGACACAGTGCTGTCAAATAGCTTGCCAATGGGACATTCAGGTGTTAAGTCTATGCAATCTAGCTCAATTGCCTCCACTTCTGACTCCATTGGAACAGTCATCCTCATTGACTTGAGTCTGGCTACCAGAGTTAGGGTCTCAGGGCTTGGATGCTAGAAGTCAAGTGATCAGAAAATGTGGTGCCTAATGCAGATGCATTAACTTCTAGCTGTTCAGTCTTAGAATTTGCAACCTGATTTATGTCAGTTCATCAGTAAACTTTAAGCACGGAAAAAAAAAAACTCACCAGAGATTGCCAATTAGCTGGCATATTCAGAAGTTACTCACCTTTGTTTTTTGTGTAGGGAATCCCCTTGTTCTGCATTTGTATATAAATTTTAATTCAAGAATACTTTTGGGCTTAATTGCCAGAGTTCCTAGTTTTTTGGGGGACAGGGAAAAAAGGTAGATTATAATTCAGATACCACAAGGAGATTCACTTGCATTGGAAGAACCAAATAAATTTTGTTAGAAAAACATACTGCAGAGTTCCTGATGGCACCAGAACTGAGACCATGGGAGCCAAGCATACCTTTCCTCTTCACTTGACAGCAGTGCGCTGGTGTCATTTCACTTTTCTTAGCTGGTGATAGGAATAAAGCCCTTACTGGGCATGAGCATATTTGGACATTAACAGAACTGAGTTGTTTAGCTTGTTTGAAAAGTCCTTCTTTTCCTTCCACAAAAAGGAACATTTATCGAATTGTTTTAAAATCAAGCCATTCTTCTGATAGAAGAATTGACAATTTTACCTTTCAGAGATGACAGGGTTAGAAAGATTAATTTGACCTAAACACTAGGCCTGACTGGGGTAGGCTTTTGCTCTTTCTTGACCCATCAGGGAATTTAATCTGTTCTTTTTCACCACCTTTCTTGGACATTCTTCCAGAGAGGCATTTTTTTTTGTAGTCTCATTACTCTCATTGCTATTTTAAGTTGTATAGCTTCAAGTAAAGTTGCTTGTTATTCAAATCTATTTGCTGTAAATAAACCATCTCTATCTCTCTATCCCTTTCTGTTTGTCTGTCTGTCTCCCTCTCTCTCTGATATATATCTAATGTCATATTTATATTAAAGTAGAAAGTTGGGAATTTCCAGAGGAAGAAGATTTAAAAAAACACTTTTATCAAAGCTGCTCTGAAGAAGCTTCTTGCTAAAGTACAGGGTAACAATATGCTATTTTTGACATTAAAAAAGGTAAATGGTCAATTTTCTGTGTATAAGCAATTACTAGTTAGTGGGGGTAAAATATGTAGGCAAGAATTTTTTTTTTTTTTAACTAGAGGAACAGCCTGCCTGTTAATAAGTTTTATGATGTCCATTATTATTCTCATCTTTCCTCCTCTTCCTTATCACCATCTTTTTCTTATTCTTTTCAAATCACTGTAATTGGAAAAACAATGATACATCTAGTAAGTATTAGTGGATAATCGATATGCATTTATTGGACCTTAAATTTAAATTTTAAATACAAATTCACCTATAACCATACACACTTTCATTTTTAGGATCTCATTCTGATTTTTTACTCAATGCATGAGCTATTTTGGGTTTTTATTCTTACTTTAGGATTAAAATAAAGACAATGTTGTAGATGATAGAAAATATGAAGGACTTTATGTGTGAGAATGGCCTAAAAAATAAAAGGAGATCCAAAAGTGTTCAACTTAATTCTACAAATTTATCTTTCCATCAGGTCATAGATCTACAATCCAAATATTCTTGCCCATTGTAGTTTTGATTTTTGAATACCAACAAAGCAAAACAAAACATAAAGTGAAACAGTGTGTTTTTCATAGTTGTGTTCCAGTGATTTAGCCAACCAGAGGAAAAGAGCATACATTTTGGGTTCAGAAGTTCTGAATTCTAGTTCCAGGTCTGCAATTTAAGCTATGCATGTCCATGAGGATGATGTTAAGTCACTCGGAGCCTTGGGGTCCTTAAAGATTTGGAAGGGTGATGGGCTTTACATGAGTTAATTCAGTTCTTCTGGTGGGTGTAATAGAATCTGTTCCTCCCTCACTGCTGGGCTAGATCTGACCTCCTCAGTTTTCTCATCCATACAATGGGAATAATATTACTAATTCATAGGGTAGTTAAGTGGGTAAAATGACACAATTCTGAGATAGGGTTTTATAAACCAAGAATTATATAGCTTTAAGGTGTTATCATTGCTTTATGTTTTACTTTATTCTTTAACTCAACAAACACTAGTTATGCCTAATAAACCTATGAGGACAGTGTCTTTGGTTCTGAGAGCCCAAAGATGTTCAGTGCATTCTTCTCAGGTTCCATTTGATGGGACTATTTGTTTTCTGTTGCCCATGGAAAATGGGGAAGGGGCGTTGTGTTGGAAAACACCACTTCCTTCATGGAGGACATAGCAGAGCCTCTCCTGGCAGAGCAAGGATAAAAGACAGTAATAATTCACAAAAGAAAGTAAAAATGGGACATATGATAGGTGATTCTGATTGGAATTAATGATTTCCTGTCCCACCTTGAGTTTGAATAGTCATGCTTTTCCTTTCCTCTTTTTTATTCCTGTTAGTCATTCTGCCTAGGGGACCTCCTTTCACTGCATCTATCATCTTCCATGATGCCCTTCCTCAACTACCAACCCAACATTGCAGTCTCATTTGCACTCCTTTCATACTGCTGTGTTAATGAGGCTCTTAGAACCCTTATATTCTGCCTTTATTAAACTTTACAAATCCTTGAAGCAAAGAGGTTTTTACTCATTTTGGTATCCCTTGCGGTAAATGCCTCATGCTGCCTAGCTTCAAATCCTGGCACTTCCACTTACTGTGTGGCCTTGAGGAAGTTACTGAACCCCTCTGGGCCTTACTTTGCTCATCTGGAAAGCGGAGATAACGATAGGACCTGCGCTACAAGATTTCTGTGAACATTAAAGAAAATATCACATGGGAAGCTCTTAGAACGGTGCTGGACTCATAGTAAACCCTCACTAAATATTAGCTACATTATTTGGAATCATGAACACCTATACCTGGAGCACAAGTTTCTGGATCAACTAGGAATTGAGTCCCCCTAGGATTTACTGGAAGGGTCAGCTTGATGAGGCCTGCTCTGAGACTCAAGAGTCCCGGGGCAGGTGGGCCCCAAAATCCATGTGTTGTACTTCACTCCTGGCCCAGCACCTCTGGCAAAAGGGTGACAAGGGATGAGCAGGGCTTTTTCTACAGCTCTCCTGCCCTTTCCTTTTCAGAATTTTGATTGAGTGCACTAGAAAATAGGAATGCCTGCATGACGATGAGTGCATTGACTACTTATCCTCCTGGCCCTGCTGGTCATTCCCTTTGCAGTCCCTCCTCAACCACAATGAATTAAACAGCCTTGAAGATAGGAGGTTAACAAAAGGGAACAGCAGGACTCAGCAGAGGGGCAGGGAGAATGGAGGATGGATGGAGGGAGTGCAGAGGGCAATCAAGGAGTTGGAAAACAGGAGGAAGGTTCAGAGAGTATCAAAGAAAAAGGTGGTAGCTGGGGAGACGGGCGGAAGTGGGGAAGGTAGCTGTCTCGGTCCTGGGGAGTAAAGAGAGCAGGAAGAGTTATCCTGGAATCCGTGGGGGTCAGCCTGTGGGAAGCTGGGTAACTGCTCAGGAGAGAATCTGGCCGCCAGATGGCATTGATGCCTCAGTTGCATGTTCCGAGCCAGCTGTGTGCAGGGACTCCTCCCCTTGTTTACCACGCTGTGAGTATCAACTCAGCCCCGCCTAGTCTTCAACAGGAACACTGGATTCGAGTTTCGAAAAAGAGCAGCCCTGGGTACAAATATGATTGAATGCGTCATAACTACATTCAATCATAGATTCTTAGGATTAGAGAATTTTGGCCTTTGTTTAAAATGAGGCTTTTAAGCTCAGCGGGGGAAAGGTGCAGGCCCACAGACTGATTAAGCTCTTTTGCTGTAGTGTCTTATGCCTGCTTTTATGCACTGAAATTTAAATCTGGGAAATAAGATGAAGGTGAATTTTTAAAAAACTTTTTTCTCCTTTTAAAATCAGAATGGGTACTTTTTGGTTCAAGAGCGGCGTTATGTTCTTTATGTGGCTTTGCTCTGTTTGTAGTGTGACAAGTCAGAAAATTTCTGCCTCAACAAGCTTCTGTGGCTCTTACATTCAGAGTTGTGTAAGAGCCTTGGTAATGCAAACCCATGTATTCCTTTAAGGGCTGTCATAGGGTTTTTTTTCCCCTAAGCTCTGTTTTATCCCAATTTAGACAAAACCGCACACACACTCACACACACACACACACACACACACACCCTATTTTTGAGTTGCAAATTTAAAAGCTTGGGACAATCAAGAAGGTAAATTGATTCTAAATTTAACCCCAAGACTCAAGAACGGGACAATTCTAATGTTTATAAAAACAAAGGTAAGAAAATTTCACAGATTTGGAATGCCAATCATACATTCAGACCTAGCTAGAAATTTGTTAGGCTAATGCCTGAAAATTGGTAAAATTTAAGCCAAGTCTTTTTAGACATTCAGACCCTTCAAAATTTTATAAAAACACTTACTTTCAAAGTAAGTTTAGAAATTTGAAATAAAATAGATAAGCAGTTTCCCAATTTAGGGGGATCCAGGATTCTAAAACTGAATTGTGATAGGTGATTTGCAAAGCTCAATTGGATGTCAGAATAGAACTGTTTATCTCTGAAAAACGCAAACTACTCAGCCTCTGATTTTTTTTCCCACTGTCTTTAACTACATTTTCTCTTCTGTTTTGCTCTCTTTCTTAGCTCCTATTTTATCCTAGCTTTCCTCTTTCTTACTCCCCATCATCTTTTTTCTTTCAACCTTTCTCTTTCTTAACTTCCTTGCCTCTCTCATTTTTATTTTGTTTTTTTAGTTTCCTCCATCTATTTCCCTTCTGTCCTTTCCCCATCTCCTTTGCCTGACCCCTGCTCTTAACTGATGATACTAGGTAATTAAATTTTGTGCATATATTTCCAATTATTTATTGGAGAGAGTTTTATGTTAGTAATTATCAAAGCAAGAAAATAGAATTTATATATTTCATTCAAAAAAAGTGAATCAAGTGGCTATTAATTCACATCATATCTCCTTTCCTTGCTTATATTGTGATAGTCAAGGGACATATAAAGAGGAAAAGGGAAAAGGGAGGGTTTGATTCAGGGCATATAACAAAGAGGTAGAACAGGATCTCACTTCTTTTACTGCTTTTCTAAGGCTCTATTGGCTCATTAGTAGTGAAGAGGTGATATACTGTAAAAGACTTTCCACCAGTCTTCCCTTCTCAGGTATTCTTTTGTTATAATTTTTGAAAATAGGCTGATTTACTTCTCCTATCAAGCAGTGAACCACATGGTCTCTGTTATGTCGAAACTGCTGAACTCGATGGGTAAGTTATTAAAAATGGAATAATTCAATTGGTTTTTAATTTATTTAAAAGTAATGTCTTTAGAAATAAGACTTAAACCTTGTTTATTACCTTCTTGGGAGACATAGAAGTTTAAATTGCAAAGTCCATAGTTAATTACTCTGCAGTTATTTTGAAACTGTCTTTTCTCTTAAATTTATTTTCTTTCAGAAACAATGAGATAAACATATATATTGGAATAACTTTACACAGAGACTCTTCAGTGAGATTCCTTAGAAGGTTTTTAAAAAAAGTTTTTGCTTGTTTGATTTCAAATGAGAAGGTTAGAGATCCAGAGTCCCTGAGGACTGATGTTACTTTAAAAGGCAACCTTTTGGAACTGTGTCAAATGAAGACATAGAAAAAGACAAGAGAAACAACATGATGCCGTTTTGATGTTGATATTAATTTAGAATTTAGTTATAGACCATATGGCAGTTCTGTTTCAGAGGATCTGTCTGTTGGCATAAAAACATTTATTGAATGCTCACATTTTAATGACACTATGTATTTGTGTTCTTTAGATGGAATTTATCATTTAATCTGTATAGACAATGAAATCAAGACTTAGAGAGGCTAGGTAATTTGCCCAAAACATCTGACGAATGAAGCCAGGACTCGAACCTGGCCATCTGACACCAGAGTCCATGGTATTAACTGGTGCCTTCCAAATTATTGCCATATTGAGCTATTTGAATAGTGCTTTAGTCTGTGGGACCCTATCCTGGTTTGGGCAGAACAGTTTAGACACAACTAAAACAGTCATGAGAGAAGCATTTATGGCATACATTTGAAAAGAGAAAAATTCTCAAATCAGTAATCTAATCTTCCATTTCAAGAACCTAGAAAACAGCAAAATAAACCCAAAAGAAGCAGAAGGAAGGAGATAATAAAGATGAGAGCAGAAATTGACTTGAAAAAAAAATAAAGAAAATCAACGACACAGAGCTAGTTATTTGCAAACATCAATACAAGTGACAGACCTCTAAGAATATTGATAAAGAAAAAAAAGAGAAAACACAAATTAGCAAATTAGCAATATAATGCATTAACAATGGAGATTTGGTATAGATCCTGAAGATGTTATAAAGGTAACATAGAAATACTACTAACAACTGTACACACATAAATTTGACAATTTAGAAGAAGTGGACCACTTTCTCAAAAAACTAGAAACTAAACACTTAATATGAAATAGGTAATTTAAATAGCTCAGTAAGTATTATGGAAATTGATTTCAAATATAAAGTATAAAAAGCTTTGAGAAAAAAATAGGGAGAAATCTTTGAAATCTAGGGCTGGCTAGTCAGATTCTTAGACTTGACACAAAAAACATAAATCATAAAAGGAAACTGTGATAAACTGAACTTCATAAAATTAAAAATTTTTGTTCCACAGAAGTGCCTGTTAGGAGGACTTAAAAATAAGTTATAGATTGGAAGAAATTATTTGGAAACATCTGTTTAAACAGGGACTTTTAGCTTGAATATATTTTTTAACAAAACCTCTTAAAACTCAATAGTAAAAAAACAAACCATCCAATCTGAAAATGGGCAAATGATATAAAGAGACATTTCAACAAAGAGGACATACAAATGGCAAATAAGTACATGAAAAGATGCTTAACCTCATTAACTACTAGGGAAATAGAAATTAAAACTACACTGAGATCTCACTACAGACCTATCAGAATGGCCAATGTAAAAAAGAGTGACAATTCCAAGTGCTAGCAAGGAAGCAGGGAAAGAGGATCACTCCTACTTTGTGGGTGGAAATGTAAAGTGCTACAATCACTCTGGAAAATGGTTTTCTAGTTTCTTAAAAACTGAACATGCAGCTAACATAAAACCCAACAATTTCACCCCTAGGCATTTATCCCAGAGAAATCAAGACAAGTTTGTACAAAAACCTTATGTGAATTTTTATGGTGGCTTTATTCATAACACCCCAAAACTGAAAACAACTTGAATATCCTTAATAAGTCAATGGTTGAATTGAAACTGTTGTACATCCATACCATGGAATGCTACTTAGCAATAAAAATGAGTGAACTACTGATACATGTAACACTCTGGATGAATCTTCAGAGGATGATGCTAACTAAAAATAGCCAATCCCAAAGGTCACATACAGTCTAACTCTATAAAAGTTTGCCTTTTGAAAAGGCAAAATTACTGAAATAGAGAACAGATTAGTAGTTGCCAGGTGTTAAGATGGGGTGAGAAAGGCAGGGAGGTGGATATGGCTGTGGGGCGCAACCTGAGGGATCCCGTGGTGACAGAAATGTTCTTTATCTTAACTATTTCAATATCAATATTTTGGTTGTGATATTATACTATAGTTTTGCAAGATGTGCAACTAGTAAGATGCAATTCTGAATATGGGGTGTTCAGTATGTTTTGGTATTGTTTCTTATGCTGAAAATCACTTTGAAGTTTATTAAGGTACTCAGATTAAGGAAGAGTGGGGAATGACACTGAAGGCATTAATCAGGAGTCTTGAAAAATACTCTTTAGAAGTATCAACAAGGCCTATGTGTGATTATTCTTCCCCCCTCTTTTTTTTTTTTTTCATATTTGAAGGTAGAAGTGAGATAGTGGAGAGGATCCTGAGGCGGTAACTCAAAATGATGATAAACTTTGATGAATGACATGATGTAGATCAGGGCTAAAGAACTAAGGCTATCTGGCTTTTTTGGTGTGACTGTTTCAGTTATTTGAACAGTTGTTTAAGTGGATGGACATATTGGCCCTTTAGCCTCTATAACACTTACCTCACTCTTGTCTGTTGAGCCCAGCTCAATTTCTTCTTCATCTGTGAAGTTCTTGACTATCTCAATTCCTATTCCTCTCTGCTCCTAGGAATCAGCAGATTTTTGATCAGTAAGATTACTTTTAAACAAACTAGCTTCAATTATACATCCAACTTAGTCTTTCCTGAAGAAATCTATTTTAGCAATGGATATTCTTTGAGTTGGACTCATATTGTCCTACATCATTGTGAAACTCATTTATGGAAGGTTAAGATTGGATGCCTTCTTAGGTACCCTCTTTTTGGCTCTCTAAAATGAATTATTTAATGGGTTTGCACAAAATTCTACACAGTGATATTTGCTTTTTTACCCACCATTTGTTTCCCCCAAGAGGATAGTCATTCTCTTGGGGCAGCACTGAGTATTTTGGATGACTAAGGTGTGTATTTAATCAATATTTGTTGAGTGAACGAACATACCACTAAACATTTCCTTAAAAGATAGAGATCTGATAACTGATCTTAAGCTACAGTAGAAGAAAATTAGGTTGAATGCAGTGAGAAAACTAGGATGGCAAGCCCTTAAACACAAGATGTAAGTGATGCCTGTAGAATCTTAACTGCTGGCATTTATGAATATTAGAGAGCCGTCTGTCCAATGTATGTGTGGTCCCACCTACAAGAAGATGCCCAACTCACGTGACTTGCTGAGGTTGTTCGAATTGTCTATTTTAGACTTATGGGTTTCTTGGATTGATTCTCCAAGAAAATGAAAGCTGTATTCCTTTTTCCATTTAAATTTTAGCTACCATGAAATTTTCTATGATCATCTTTTGCAAGTAAAACTTCTATCTAGATAATAGATTCTGGAGTGATATTAGCCTCCTTTAGTTGGCAATTGTGTTCTTACTCTGAATGTGTTTTGTAACTCATGCATGATGTCTGAGTAGGTTCAAATAAAACCGCATTTATTATGTCCTCTGTTCTTTCAAACTGAAAAACAGTTCATTGTGTTGTTATAAAGATGTGCCATGGGTAGAATGCCAATGCTTAGGAGCCCAAGAAGCCCTGCCCATTTTCCTGAAACAGTGTGCAAAGTATGAATGACATTTAAAGGGGGGTTTCTGGGATCTCAGGTTTGGCTTTGTATGTGCTGCACCCATCTGATTGCTTTGGTAGCATGCTGTTGGGCTGTTCCGTATAAAAATTCATGTCATGTCAATAATTTCACAGGGAAACGAACCTAAAAGTCCGCCAGGCACTATCAGTTACTTCAGAACTTGGAGCAGATATTAGCAGACTTGCAAGATTTGATGGTAAGTATCTTAAAAAGATAAACAAAAACCTCAAAACCAAAAAGCAATGCAACAAACTAATTATCTGAGATCCAATTTGTGTTTCTTTTTATTTGGTGGAAGGACATAAAATTCTCCAGGCAACAAAGCCTGTAATTTTTTCTCACGCTGAAAAGAGTAAAAATGTTTGCCAAGGGGAGAATGGCTTTATCAGTTCATCATTCATTTCATGCTTGTTTTCTTTTTAGATGTAATTTCCTTCAATCCCATAATGCCCTTTACTTGCCCAATGTTGGCCTTCCTGGAGCCATATACAGACTTGCCGAGGAGGAATATTGGCCACCCTTTTATTTCTAGCTCTAGGTCTAACTACCCATTGATTTTCTGGCTCCATAACAAAGACTAACTACCAGACTTCAAACTTCATGAAGACAGTCATCCCGCCTCATGTATTTCTCTACCTTGCATGGTGCTTGGCATACTGTCTTGAAGATATTAGGTGTTCAAGAAGAATATTCTGATTTATTAATTAGTTGGTCATCTGTTGCCTTTGATTTCAGACCATGATTTTACTATCTCTATCTTCATACTATTCAGCTGGTCCCTTGATCTTTAATCTCTCTTGCCTCTCCTTTTCTACCTATGTCTTGTTCTATTCTGTTAATCTTATGTATTCATGGAATGACCTCCAGATGTTGTCCATTCTAGGGATAGCTGTGTTTATGATTAAGACACCACAGAGAAACACCATACTTTAAGAGAAAGGAAAGAGACACTGATTGTAGGATTTTAGGCACCATGATAGGCTGCAGAGAGAATCTTTGGAGTCTTCCTTTCATTCCTTAATGGTCTCTCGCTTTGCCTACTTGTCAGTCTGGCCCCAAATATTAGTTTATCCATTCAGATTGGCTTTATTTACTAATGAATTTTCATGAGTTTGAGACAGTCTTTTAAAATGTGTTTTTGGGGAATCCACTTAGGAAAATGTGGACAAGAGTCTTAGCATAATCACATGAGTTAAAGCACAGGCAAGTTTATATTGTAAAGTTTCTCCAATGCAGAGCTTAGAGCTTACATTGCCTGTGCTTTGCATTTGCTTGTAAAGTGTGTCTGGATTCTGTTAATATTTTAATTTCTCTTAGAGTGCTTTTATAACAGATGTTTATAGAAAAAATATTCCTCCAAATTGAGATTTAAGTCAGGGAAGTAGCCAGGAAACTGAATGGTCCAAGAAATATTTTGATTAGAATAAAACAAATTACACATTTTCTACCACGTAGTTTTTTCAATGAAATTTTACTGTTATTTGAATCCAAGAGAAGTAAATTTTGTTCATGAATTAAAATACTTGCTTAAAATACCTCATCGAATATTTATGGAGTCCTAAAAGGGTCAGCTAAATATAATTTATTATTACTTATTTCTTTCCTGGCAGAATTGTACTTTAATATCTTTGTCAATCTACGAGGAGGTAGAAATTCATGATATTTTGTGTTGTTCACCATCAAAAAGCAGAACATGATTGTTACAATTATTTAGGTCCCATTCTTTCCTAGATGTTTGCCCAGATAGGCTACACTATGATGCAGTTACAAACAACCCTGCCATCTTAATGGCATAAACACAGTAAAGGTTTATTCTTGCTCATGTCACATTCTGAGTGAGTTGGGTGGCCTTTTTCATCATGGAGCCACAGTATCTAAACTAATGGCCTCTTAGGTCACTGCATCAGGCTAAGAGTAAGATGAAAGAGACTCAATGGCTTTTAAATTCTTCTTCCTCTCATAGTTCACTGGTTAACAATGTCACCTGGCCCTGACTTAACTGCAAGGGAGGCTAGGAAATAACAAATATGAATACTTGTTGAGCATTTACTGTCTCTACCACACCCTCCAAGATTCGTGGCCATGTAAGATGATGCCAGGATAATGCATAAGGAGCCAGGCTGGATTAGGTGGCTTTCTTACATGGAACTGCAGTACTGGGGCTAAGTATCCCTCTCTTCAGCGTGACTCCTTACACTCTCAATCCACCATACTCTGCTTACCTTCTTCTTCTTCTAGCACTTTGCACTATCTGGTACATGGACAATTCATTTATTTTTGAAGTTATTTATTGTCCATCTTTATCTGCTTCAGTGTAAATCTACACAAGGATCTTTGCTTTATTCACTGATGTATGCCAAGCTCCTAGAACAACATCTAGCACATAGTAGGTACTCAGTAAATCCCTGCTGAATGAATAAATAATCACAAGTTCCAGTGGAGGGCAGAGACGAAGACCAGCATCAGGCCGCAGAAAAGCATGGGAGGGCAAAGGAAAGGCCTGACATAAAGAGATTGGAAAGGGAGTCTGAAACCGTGGGGTGAAGAGAAAGGTTGCTTCCTGAGGTGGCTTTGTAGGACCAAGAAGGAGTGCTGGATCCTCTCCTCCTGGAAGGCAGGTGTCTGGGAGATGGACCATCTGTCATGGTTGTTTTAGAATGTCTTTACTTCAGATCCTTTCTGAACTAAGAAAATGGAACAAAGTAGCTCCAAATTTAAACCAGTACAAGTAGTACTGCTCAGGCTGAAAGCACTTCCTTCCCTAAGATTTTACAGATGAGGTAACAGGTCTTAAGAAGTTAAAGGACTTGCTTATATATAAAAATAGCCATTTAAAAATACTTCATAAAATTTACTTTTAAGATGTGTTAATAATTATTACTTGCTAGATATGACTTCAATTTGCTTCATACAGAATAGGCAACTCACCAAATCCCCAATGAATAATTGTTTTCCCAAATAAAGGCAGCACAGACCTCTCTTTTTTATGATTATATATACTTAAACTGTGGTCAGCTTTTCAGAAAACATGTAATGCCAAGTTCTTGAGTCTGTTACACTTCTGGGCTAAAATCCAGGCTTCTATTAAGTTTACTTTTTCATTTTAAAATCTTTGGTTGCATTTCAATCTACCTTAAAGTTCAAGGCAACAGGGTGTTTTGTGAGTTTATCCTAATAAATAGAAATATAATTTCCTGTTTCTAAGAAAGCATCAGAAGAATGAATAGATGAATTAAGGGAAAATAAATTAGAAACAATATACAAATTAGATTCCCCCCCAGTTAGCAGCCAAATTTAAAGACCAAGAGGATGATGCAAGATGTGGTATGGAAGTCTTTGATAGAATCTGGACAGTTAATAAACTCTAAATCTTTCCCATGATTGCTTTTGCTTTCCTGTGGCCTTCAATTTTTTTCTCCATCTGCTTCTTTCCAAGTCCTAATTTACACATTTCAGTTTTAATATCTTTGTTTCACACATAAACACACATTCTCGCATATTAGCCACTATCCGCACGTGGTTTTCTAACTCCTCCTTTTCACCATTCTTCTCTTTCCTTTCTCTAGTCTCTTACTGTTCTCATCTCACCTTCCTCCTTCACTTTTTATGTGATTTTCTTCACCTGCAGTGTCTCTTTTCTGTTATTCTTTATCTTTGTTTTCATCATTCTCGCCTTATTAATTAAAGCCTGTTTATTAAGCACCTCCTAAGTACAAAATGGAAAACAAAGTATGTAGAATTATAAATTATCTCTCCATATATTATCAAAATTCTTTTGATCCTTTGCTCCATGTTCTTTTTCTACTCCCTCTTTTGTGTCATCTTTATTCACCTTTGTCCTAATGAAATATCAATAGATTTCAGGTTTTCCTCTGATGATTTGAAAAAGACTTTCTTGCCTCGTGGGAATCAAAACCAGATATTGTATCTTTTAGTTTAAATTAAAATAGGATATCCGCATTGTGTATGTTTGGAAATGCCATGGCCAGTTTTGGCAACGTATAATCAATGAGGCAGATATGTGAGGGACACCCTTTACCATGTTCTATTTGTGCTACGTATATGTTTTAATTTGTGACTTCTGGGTAAATCTGGGTATGGCATTATATTTTGCTTCTAGTTACTGTGTGGTTTTTCTTCTGAGACTTGCCAAAATACTTTCTCTATCACCAAATTACAGTTTTCTATCCTTGAATAATAAAAGCACATCCTCCAAGTATCTAAATACCTGAATTTCCCACTCCTGTCCCCGGAGAAGTTCCCACTGGGGTTTCCACGTTTTGGACACATAGAGTCAGAACTGAGTTGGGTTGAAAACTCAGGATGTCTCTGGTAAGTCTCTTTGTCTCCTCACTTTTGTATCTATATTGAAAGATAGTGTCTTTCTGGTGGGCTTATTTCTTTCGTGTATTCACCCATTCATTCAACAAATGTATATTTAACACAAGGCCAAGGGATTTGTTAAACCTGGGATACAGTGGTTAATAAGTCAGGCCCAGTCCATGCTTCTATAGAGCTTATTTCCCAGGGGAGAAGACAGACTTGAGAAGGCTTATCCCTAAGGAAGCCTTTGATAAGGTAAAGGTCCTAAAGTTCTCAGGCCCTAAACACAATGTTGATATGTGAGCAAGAACTCACTGTGTACCCAGGCACAATGCTGAGTAATTTCACACATTATCTTATTAAACCCTTACAGCTCTTGAAGGAAGAGATTATTGTTAACTTAATTTATGGATAAAGAACCCGAGACCCAAGTAAACTGATTAACTTTCTTAAGGTCATATTGCTGTTAAGTGGAGAAGCTGGAATACAAATCCTGGACTTCTGGCAAAGCCTATTTTACAAAGGACACAAAAACCCAGGTTGGAAACTCAAGTAGAAAGAGAGCATTGGAGAGTTAGGGAAAGTTAGCACAAGAGCTTAGCTTCTGATTAGGGTAAGGAATAAAATTTTAAAATATTCTAAACCTAAAGGTACAAAATTAGTTACAACAGATCAAGTCCATCCAGGAAAAGGATGAGGTAATCATATTTTTAAAAAATAGCAATGATCTCAGTGATTTTGAATGTCAGGATCCCTGATGAGAGTTTATAGAAGACTTGGCCAAGTATAGACACCAGTGCACCCAAGAGAGTAGGGTTTTGGCAGGTAAATCCATTTATTTGAAAAGTTTTCACACAGATATTTTTATACATTTCAAACATCAGAAAAAAATGACTTAAAGTCTTTCGAATTTTGTAAGAAAAGATACATAACTTGATCTAATATTATAGATCAAATATAGTATAAAAAGAGATTGAGTGGGCCTTGATTTTCATGTTAAAATCTTATGGGAATTGAAAAGCCTTTGTAAACAAGTAACTGAAATACTTGTCAATTATTATTATGTAAACTGGACATTCTTATTCCTTGGGGAAAGCCCCGGATGTAAATTGTCCCAATGTGTTTAAGAATCTTTTGCATATTGTTAGTGACTGAACTGAGATCTGTTTTCTGCAACTCATGACAAGTTTACATATTTTGTATGACTGTTAATGCTGAATTCTGAATGAGGGAAAGGTTGACTTTTTATTCAGGAATCCTTGTGTATTTTGTGGTTCTTTCTAAAGAATAGCATGTGTGTAATTAAAACATGGAAAAATAAGCATCTCTCTTTGGTTAAAAAAAATGAAATAGCTTGGTTAGCATCTTGTGAGTTTTTTTGCTTACCAGATAGTTTTCCCATTCACCTGGGCAGGAGCACAGCCCAACAGCACAGCTGATATGAGGCATAGATTAACTATAGAAGGTGTGAAGAAAGACTTCCCTCTTTACTGCTGGTGCCGACATGGCCATTATGGTAGTAATGATGGATGGGCGAGCCTTGGTGGTTGAAGAATAAAGAAGCTTTAGAAAATAGGAAGGTGACCCTCTTCTTTTTAAGACAAAAATAAATATTTGTCACAATCATCAGGGCAAACAGTAGTGGGCAATGTCTAAAACTCTAAGAGACTGCCTAAAACACTAAGAAACTCTTGTCTAGAGAAATTCTTGAACAGAAATATTGATGTTTTATTTGCTGGATAATTTGTTTTATGGAAGAGTTGAAGTACAGATAATTAAGAACTATTTCTATTAGTAATAAACATAAAGAGATAAAGCCAGCTTCTCTGGAAAATCATAGAATATCCAGCACTGAGTTCCATTTTTATGATAAACTGCAGACTTTCACTTTGAGGTAAATACTTAGCTTGAGAAGTCTGTCAAGTTGCTGATTAACCAACTATCCAGCTAACTAAATATAGAATGCTTAGGAAGGTCCAGACTGAGATCTTGTAGATTTTATTCAGTATGGGTCTAGAGCATTTCTGTGTGATTATAAATTGGAAAAATTGCAATCTGCTTTCATGTCTTCTCTGCAGAGGGTCAAACAGATATGACTAGCTAGTTTGATTGTATTTACACTTCATTATTGACCTGACTTTTTTTTCAGATTTATTATTGCCCATTAAAGATGACTTTTTGCTCCAGTCATATATTCTATAAATGAATGTGAGAAATGATGTGATTTTTTCCTAAACTGTTTCCTCTTTGTCAAGCTGATCATTTTCTGCCTCTTTGTCTTCTCTGATTGAACTAGCAAAAGGAAGAAGTGTCCTAAGAGAGTTTTCTCCTCATTCTTGTTATGCTTCATGGCTAGGATTTCTTTTTGGTTGGTTTTAATGCACTTTAATGCTATCACCTGTCTTCAGTACTGTCAGATATACTTGGCTCCAGTCAGATTTAGGCCAAACTAAGCCCCCAGTTGTTCCTGGGCTATTTAGTTTTCCATTACTATCATGGAAATATACCCACTTTTTCCATTTTTCTTGGATATGCTCTAACATCTCTCTCATCTCCCAACCTGTCTCTTGAAATCATCTGAAATTTTTTCTATCTGTCTCTTCAACAAAGATCCTATTATGTAGATAGTATAATAGGTTATAGGAATACAGAGGTGAATACAGTGATCTCTTCAAAGAAGCTTGTTCATCCCTTTTGGAAAGTGGTACAACAGAAAGTGGGAAGCATGTGTTTTATGCTAATAGGGCTTAAAAAGGGGAAGCTGAGCACTTCTGATGATAAAAACAAACGTAGTTTGGCTTTATTCCCACCATTTTGTTTTGACTGGGCTCTGTATTTAGAACTTACATCACTGGGACCACACTCTTTGAGAAAGACTGAATTGGGGCTTAGCCTCCAAGAACCCAGGCAGAACCCCTTGGGCTTACTGCCTGTTCCTGTCTAGAACCACACCCTTGTTGTGAGGCCAGGGAGGAGCGAGCCAACATGTTTGAGGCTGTATTTGCCTCCATGTCAGTCTTTTCTTATGACAATAGAAATGATCAAATGAACCTGTTTTTTATATTCCTATTGGCAGGGATTGCGTATCATGTTGTTTTTGCCCAAAGCACATTTTTTTTTTTTTTTTTTTTAAAGTGGCTAAGTTTGAAGCCTGAGAAATTGAGTCTTGGATCTGGAATCTATAATAAACTTTAAGCATTGCTGTCAACCTGTTATTTTATGTAGATTTTGCTGGTGATAGCCAAGTCAAGATTTTACTATTCAGAGTGAAAATTATTGATGAAGAAAAAAAAAGATATGAATTCAGGGATTTAGAAAAGGTCTCCTCATCTACAATGTAGTTGTCCAAACAAGTAGAGCCAGTTTAAATCAGTTTTATTTACTTTTTACTATCAGTGATAGGCTATAATGGAGCTAACCAGAATTCCGCCCCTTCCCTTGGCAAGGTTATTTGTCTTATCCAAATCCTCCTGCCAGCAGTCTTTATTTAACAGTGGGAAATAGGTTTGTCTGGGAAACTGCTAGTGAGTGCCTTAAGTGGGGAGGCTTCAGACAGAACTTTTGTTATATTGGAGAGAGACAGGTGGAGGTTGGAAAAGCAGTCCTGAGGCCATGAGTCCCTCATTCCTTTCACAGTTTTATTTGCTTTTGCTTTTTTAATGCAAGGTCTGTTTGTGATCTGGTTGGTCAAGAGTGACTGGCCACGTGGCAACTGGCTGCTATTACCTTGGTCTAAGAGTTTTAAAGGGAGCATCCTAGGGAGAAAGGGGACCCACACAAGAAGCCTCTTTCGTTCAGAAGGCAGCTTGGAGAGTGGATGGAGTCAGTGTAATATAGAGGATCTCTAGGCTTATGTGGTCCCCTTTCTCTTTAATCAGTGCTAAAGATACGGTCTTCTTTTTATTTTCCAAATGCTACGTTTTATGTTCCAACTTGTCCTTTTGACTTCTGATTAAATGTAAATGTATTTTTTCTTTGTTTGTTTTTGAGAGAGAGAACCTTGTAGGTAGTAATCTTACCTCCGACTCTGGCTTGAACCCTGATTGGATCTACCCACAGTTTCCTTTTTCATACCTCCTCTCTCTTTTCCTTCCTCCCTCTGTCCCTCTCTCCTTCTGTTCTGTCCTTTCGTGTCTTTGTACTTATGTATAAAAATTTAAACTTACCTGTTTGCAGTGGATGTGTATATTAATCTAATAGTTATGTTTTGTGACAGGGTCTGTGAAAGATTATTTCTGGTTTCTTTTTATATCTAGAGAACCCCCATCCTGAATGTATATTTTCATATTGAAATAATGGAACAAATTGATTTGTTGATTTGGAATGGGCTTGGCCTTGGTTTGGAATGAGTTTGGAATTAAAGAAACTAGAAACATCTTCTGGTTAGTTAGGGGCAAGTTATATGGTGCCTTCCAGAGTCCCGCAGAACTCTTAATCTAATCAAGATAAGACACATAGAACAGCTGAAAAGAATCACACGCATTCTCAGACACATGTGGCAAATGAGGCACAGGTTTCTCTCTGGTGGAATACAGTAGGACCTCTGAAGTCTTGATTATGAGCTTTGAAAGATGGTTAACTTTTGTTATGAGACTAGAAGTATGCTATTTGAAACTGTCTAAAAGTTCACATTTAGCTCAAAGAGATGGAGAAAGAGAAATTTTTTGGACAGTCACTGCTTTATCTTTTCAAGAATTATTTGTTATAAACTAGAAGTAAAGTTTTTTTTTTAAAGGAAAAAATATCTCATGGATCCTAAGGTTTCTATTGTTGTTGTTGTTTTTCTATTTTTATTTGGACAGTACAAAAGCTATGTTTCAAATTAGTTGATGGCTTTCCATTTTTCTATCTCCCAGCTTATTTTTTCTAGCACAGTTCTGTGTATGTAATCCCATGCTGTCTAAAGGAGAAGGAAACTGTGGTTAAACAGTGCTGTGGGCTTCTGAAGAGAATTCTGGGTGAGATGTTTAGCGTTCTTTTTTAATATATATATTTTGCAGGGATTGTTGTCTGTGAGGCACCTAACAACAAGTTAGATAAATTCATGGGACTCCTCTCTTGGAAAGACAGCAAGCACTCCCTCAACAATGAGAAAATAATCCTGAGAGGCTGCATCCTGAGAAATACCAGCTGGTGTTTTGGAATGGTCATTTTTGCAGGTACAGCACATGACCCAGGGCCAGATCTATGGGAACCTTTCCTGTAGTGTACACAAGCACAGTCTACAATTCTCGACGTTCTGATGAGCACAGTGCTTTCATTTCACACAAAGTAGTGCTCCGGAGTTGACTTCAGAGTTGACTTCTGGAGTTGACTTCACCAGGAGAAAACACCATTGCTCTGAAAATAGTCCAGGCGGCCCCACTGTATGAGGAACTTCTGATTTCTTGATGTTATTCTTAAGGATGTTGGAGCTTTAATTAGACAGTGGGTGCTAGAATTAAGCTACTGCTTAATTTCTCTTTATTAACCCCATCTTAATCATCTTTGTCATTTTATCTATTAAGCAATCTGCCTTTATGGTGAGTAAGAGTATGAAAGAAAGTCCCTGGCTGTGCTATTAATTTTGTACTTTGCAGTGGTCAAGCAGACCTTTGGAAACGGCTTCTTGATCTTGTAATCATTTCTGTTTATACCCCATAGCTTTTTCCACTGTTTGTAAATAGGAGAGTGGGTTCTGGAAAGACTATGCATGATGGGGGTGGGTGGGGTGGGAGGAGGTGTCTCTTACTCTTCTTGCCCACCGTATTTCTTTTCTCTGCTTTATTTCTGTGGGCCCCAGGTGGCCCCTTCTTGCTAAGGAAGCTTACAGTAGCACCATTTCATAAAGCCACTCAAATTGTACTCATAGCTTCAATTGCCAGCCCTTGATTTTAAAAGTCCTGTTTATTGTGACACCAAATTAATATGTGTTTTGGGCCTGTTGACCATGTGCAATCAAAATGGGAATGTTTTTCTTAACTGACCTTCCTCAACAACAACAAAATGTTCGTTAAGGACTCAAGTGTTCCAAACCTAGAAACATTCTCCCAGCTCCTCTAAATACTGTCAGCTGTCAGTGTTAGCAGTGCTCTTGCTGCTTGGGGCATTGCCATTGTAAAGACTTGAGAAATCCCTAGAAATGAGGCAGTATATGTGCTTTTATGTTTTAGTCAGGGAAATAAACATATGATCATATATTTCTTTATTTGCATCTTCCTTACACTGAGAAAAAGAAAGCTACTTTTTGTATGCTTGTCCATGAACGTTCCTTTATCTTCCTGCTTGAAGATGAGGACATTTCTTGGTCTTTTGATGGGAAATACTCTCCTGATTTGCTTCTTGTCATCATAGAGATGGAGGTGCTTCATCCTTTGGATGGGTCATCTTTCGGATGGGATATAGCCCAAACTGCATTTCTATGATCTTGTTTGGAATGGCTAATTCAGGACTCTAGTTCAGCTGTAAGGTTTCATGCTAGGGCAGCTGTTGTGAACCACTGAGAGGTCAAGTTCTTATTCGTAAGGTTTCTCTCTGGGAAATGATCCGAAATGGCCCTTGCTCTTAAAGTTAAATTATTTTGAAAAATACATATTTTTTATTTCAGAAA